TAGGTCTGGAACCGGAGGCAAATCACGTCCTCAGTCCCTCAGCGCCTCGTAGCCACCGTTGCAGCTCTACTTCTCTAGCTCCCAACTTGAGCCAAGACCAAGTGGGCCAAGTTGCCACAGCCGCTCCTTACTTCTAGCTGATGCTTCTTCGGTCGCTTGAAGCACATGCGCTCTCAAAACCTTCAACGTGCCCGGTCCCCAGCTTTCGCTGCGGAATCTGCGCCCCCAGGGATCGCCTGCATGGGTCTTGGAAAGGTACAGTACATGGCAACACACCGCATACCTGCGGGTGGTCACTTCACTAAGTGCGGGCAGCACCTTCAGAAGTACAGCACTAAGGCAGCGAGCATCAACATGCTTGGCCAGAGCCGCTGACTGTTGCTGCCCTCGCAGTAGATGCCCACGTGATCCGCGAAGTAAAGCTTCGAATCCGTGACAAACTCGTAGCCGGTCAGCTGCTCTTGCACCTGCCGGACGCTGGTCACCGAGCTGGGCCTGACGGTTTCGTTGGACGGGTCGAGGAAGAAGACCACATCTCCCACCTCAACTTCGGTGGGGTGCTTGTTTTTCCACCGTTTGCCTGCTTCAACGTTAGGATCCCGCACAGGTACGAAGGCATCCGGGCCGACCAGCACAGGCTTCCCCACAAGATGAGCGAGCTCGTGGTCGATCTCAGTGTAGTTCGTCAAACTCACCGTCGTGACGGCAACATTGCAGCCTGGCGCAGTTACCTTCCTGCTTGCATACCCCCACCTTTCGTGCATGATGTCGTAGGTCTTCTTACCCACATCCGGGCGACTTGCTTCTCCAGGCGAGAAGATTTTGAATGGAGACGTGTCTGAGTTCTCAATATCTTCGACCTTCCATTCCCCTTTCAAAGGAATCGACACGCACTCGACCTCCCCGTGACGGACCTCGCACTGCTGGTCCTCACCCCCAGCCGCAGAGATGATAGTCCCTTTTGGCACACAGCGCCAGTTACGCCCTCCGTTAGACGGAGCAGGCTCGTGGCGCACCCGCGATGCTTCCTTCAAGAAGAACTGCTGCATATTGAAAACCCCCTCCCAGCAGTCTGGATTCGCCTGGCAGGCGTGGATGTGCTGCCGGACCACCCGAGCACGCACCTTCGCAGATGACCGGCGGAAGAGCTCTCGTAAGCCCAGCTTGGCCTTGAGCTGGGCCCTGAGCGTGGCCTCCTGAAGGATGCTCGGGATCTGCAAAAGTATTGTATGATTTATCGTATAATCTAGTGTAGTATATTCTAACATAGTTTATTATAGTATAGTATAGTAGCTTCAACTCCTGAAGGATGCTCGGATCTGCAGAAGCTCTGCGGCGGAATGGTTTTGGAAGGCCTCCTCGTCGAAGTGGGCGGAGAGGAGGTCATCCGCCTCGCGGCAGAAGTCGGCCAAGGCGGGGTCGGGGGTCTCCTTCACCAAGTCACCGGGCCCAAGATAATGTAGTATAATATAGTATATAGTATAATAACATAATATATGAATATACTATGTATACTATAAAACAACATATTATACTGTAATTTAATACAGTTTACTAAAGTTGTACATGTTTATTAGTGAAATCTCAGAATGTGAAGGGAGTCTCCTTCACTAAGTCACCGGGCCCAAACTGACGGCCCGAGAATGTGAAGAGGGTTGAATCCAGCGAAGCGCACAAAATCTCGTTGTACTGGTTGTTGCAGCAGACATCGAAGCCCAACTTCCATGCGGACCAGTTGGCATTGTAGAAGTGCTCTTCTTCCTCCTCCTGGGTCTTGCTGAGGCACTGCGAGATCATCTTGCTGCACCCCGCGTGCTGCGGTGATGAGAACGGATTGGCACGGCGATATCCGTGCTGCAGAAGGGCATGCCCAGCCCCGATCGGTGGCCGGGCACAACTCCCTTCTGCAAGGCGTTCGGTCCCTGAGCCCTTCGCAACGACGATGAATGCGGCGAGTGCGAAGCGAAGCATCGTGGCTGACACGATAATAGCGGTAGACACGGGAGAAGATAGGCCTTTTCGAGCCTGAAGCTTGCGGCACCGGAACGGTCCTCTTAAGTATCTGAGCTGGCGCATCACCCGACACAGGAGGCAACTCCTACGGATCTCAACCGCTCGAGCAATCTCGCTGAAAGAATCGCACACGCCCCTTTTTGCGAGCGCAAAGAATGCGGGAATCTCACTGAGCAGCGCAATGACGACCCTGAACTGCTCGTTTGACAACACCTCAGATGACAGGAACGCGACAAAAAACAACAAAACAAGGCCTCGATCCTCTCGGCAGTGAAGCTGAGCAGCCGGCTGCTGTAATTGAGCTCCAGTCCTGACCAGCTTCACCGGGATCGCTTTGCATGACAGGATGCCAATCGCATGATGGTTAGAGCTTGCGCCGTGGAACTGCCAACTAACTGGACAGCTCCATTGCGATGCTTGTAGAACCCCTTTCTTGGAACGCTTGTAACGACCCATGTAGAAGCCAAGAACCTGACACTTCACACGCAGACTCTGCACGGCTCTCCGGCTGTTTTATGCGTTCCCAAACAGCGCTGTAAGACTTTGGGCTTCTTGCGTTAAGAGTAGAGGGAATCGATAAGTCCACAGCGCCGCGTCCGCGCCGAAATGGCTCTCCGTGTCCTACGATGTCCACGATATGGTGCAGATTCGGTCGCCGCGCCCCATCATTTGCGCAGGATCCCTGCTGGGACAGTTTGCCGCTGTGGTCTGGCGCATAGTTATCGCGAGCCGTTACCCGGATCGCCGGTCCTTGGCTTTGAAAACCCTGCAATTGCAGCCTCCGTGGTCTCGAATCCCGCCAGTGTCTGAGGGAAAGCACTTTCGCACCGCTCCTGGTGGTCTCCTGGTCTGCGGGTGGTCTCCTGGTGGTCTCCTGGTGTCCGTGGTCCTCGAGGTCCTCGAGGTCCTCGTGGTTCTGGTCGTCATCCACGTCATGGTCAATAGTCGCCATCGTCGTCGCGGTGCTCTTTCCCTGTTTGGGGATCCACGCTGCACTATAAAACTTGAAAGGCTTGAGGGCTTTGTCAGGGTTTGCAAGCGTTCTATAACAAGGCTTTGTGCAACAAGATGACACAAGGGCCTCGAACGGCGCTTATCCCCCGAACATTGCGATGAACCCCTGCATTCTGCACGCAGCCTCTGTTTTCTCCATGTCGCTGCTCACAGCTTAAGGCCTGTTCTGCATCTGGATTTCACACGCCAGAGCAGGTTCCCTTTCTCATGGCTCAAAACCTGACACTCAAGAACTTCTAAATCCAACCTCAAGCAAATCTCAAGTCCTAATTACCCGGGTCTTTCAAGCGAGCCTTCGCAGTGAAGGTCTCACCAGTGATTTTTTCGGATGCCCACAATCACAGATTCATCGGCCGACTCCGACAAGGCAGCTTCGGCAGCCAAAAGACTGCGACACTCAAGGCTTGAATACTTTGGGCTTGTGGGATAGGGCTGGTGTTTCGGGTTTGGGATTTAAGGGCCTTCCAACAAGAAATGGTGTGCGCAAAGCTGAATCGAATCCTCACAACACTCACGAATAGACGTTCTACGGCGAATGCCCAAACAGCACCTAGTCCCACAAATCGAAGGTTGCTAGTCAACTTAGGCAACACATCCATATTTGAGCAACTCCTCTCCTCTCGCTAAACATGCTGTGTCGAATACGAGACCAGTATTCCTACGAAACACCTTCTAGGCCGCGTAGTTCAGACTCGTGATTTTTCAGCAAACGAAAAGGGCCATCTGATGCAGTGAATCTTGCCTCAAGGATGTATTTAGACGTTGTGGTCAGCCTGAGACGCACGGCTTTGTCTCGCTTGCCGGTGTCTCTTGGCGCAGTCAGCAGCACGGGGTTGGCTTGTTCAGTGAGCCGAGCCACTTCAAGTACTCGTTTGTGAACCAAGATGCGTAGCGTTGAGCTCGTCTGCTCAGGCTGACCCTGCTCGGACGCGTCTCCACCATGGCCCTCTTTGCGGACTCTGCCTTCGATGACGAGATCATAGGAAGCCTTCGAAAATGTCCGGCGATGCTTCATCATCTGTTCCAGCGTCTTCCGGCACGATTCTCCGAGACGGTTGCACCTCAGGTGCAGCCGGTCCAAAGGCTGCGATTCCGCCGCCAACAGAGCCGCCGATAACTTGGCGGCATCCTCATCTGAAAACTCGTCGCACTCGATCTGCACGTCGCAGGCGCCAGACTGCACTGCAGCCGCGGTTACTTTCCATGCAGTGTTCTCTGGAATATCCATTAGCACCACCTCTGTCAGCTTCGAGTAAAAAGGCAAGGCAGCAGCGAGGTCCGCGATCTTCTCGGTGTCAAGGCCTTCTGCGAGCAGCCTTGTGGTGGTGGCGGCCTTCTGTCGGAAGATTTTCTCCTGAAGCTCGAAAACGATGTGCGAATCCTCTCGGTGCGTAAACAGCAGCTGCCGCATTCGATCTCGGAAGATCTGGGGCGGGAGTGGCACTGGGAACTCGCCTTTAATCGAAGCCCTGAGGGCCGCCCACTGTCTCTCCGCTTGGCACCAGCCCCGAAGGCTGTAGGGCGTGCGATTCATCTTAAGCTGAGAGATTGAGACGTCCGTCACTTTCTTTGCATCCTCCCAGTACACCGGGATGCGTGAACCGTTCGTCGCCAGGCAGTCGTCCTGAAGCTCTTTCGGAGTGAGGACTTCGATCCTCTGGACTTCCACGGCCTCGTGGGAGTAGAGCAGGTGCATGCCCTTGAGCGCCTGCCGAAAGACTCGGTCCTGATCCTGGTCTCTATCGTACTGGTAGAGAGAGAGGAAGTCGAAGAAAACCCACACCACTGAATCCACGAGGCGAGAGCGGTGCTTGTCGACAACGGACTGAAGCTGGAACCTGACGAGCAGGGCCGTGTGCCGTTACACCCACATTATGCTGCTACGAAGAAAACTCCTACCACCACGACCACAATCTTTACGGTTGTGAGCGCGACTCCTCCTCCTCCTCCTCCTAACCACCACCACCACAACCGCTCCTTGAGCCTTTCCTAACCACCCCGAACCCGAACCTCCAGGGATCTGGATGCTGCATGCTCTCCCACACATGGCTGACCGATACGAAATGGACGGTGACCCGTCTTGGCGCTGGATGCGAGAGCATGATGGAGACGTGGAAGGTCTCGCAGTTGATCTCCACCTGTTGCAGCTCGGTGGCTGTAACGAGGGCCGACGCGCCCAATTTGATACTCTCCTGCTCGGCCTCTTGACGCCGAGGCAGAGCCCTCCCCGACTCAAGAAGCTCGACCAAGTACTCCAGGCGTACTAGGCGAATATCTGCATCTATGAGGAAGTCGACCAGGCCGTTCGGATCCGAAAGATCGTCGCCCGCGGCCTGACTGCAGAAGTAGTGCGGGCAGGTTCCAATTCAAGCAGTTCGCTTTCTGCAACTCAGCCTGCTTCTTGGCAGAGGCAGCGCCTAAAAATTCAAGCAGTTTGCTTCCACACACTAAGGGTGCTGTCTTTAGAAAAATGAAGAGATATTAGATTTAGAATGGGGTCGTGCCACGGTCTTCCATCCGGCAAAATCCGAAGTGTAGTTGCAATGAGCCACGGAACACCGACAAAGTGACCCCTGAACTGTTTTTTTCTTGTGTTTATACACAAACGACACGGGGCCATCCACCAAAGCCCTGCCTTTCGAAACGTTTGTTCCTGCAACTCTGCCACAGATACCCCTCAACTTTGCACAGCACAAACAAGACGGGGGCCGATCTGATCTAAGCAGCGTCAACAGCCCAATCCGCCTCTTCCGTGCCAGCGCACTGCTCGACCTGCACCCCCTCCTCTTCCAGGTGTTCCTGCATCGGGGCTCAATTATGCAAACATCTGCTGTGCTGTAGCACTGCAGCTGTTCTATGGGACCCCAATACACGGTCACGGATGAACGTCAGGGGATCGCGCCGAAAAGCATCCACAGAGTTGGCAGGGACCGTCTTTAGCACTTGGACTGCCACATCCGGCTTTGTCAAGAAGGCGGCCAGGATTCTTGATGGGAGCTGGAATAAGAGGCGGAGAAGCACTATGGCATCTTCATCCAGCTCCCGGCGCAGGTGGTCCGGGAGCTCATTGAAGTGCCCAAGTATGAGCCGAAGGTGTCTGTCCAGCATCCTTTTCTGACCTTCTGGCAGGTCCGAGGCGTCGACGTGAGCCTGGCCCCAAAGATTGTGAGACGCCACCAAAATCACAATGAATCGAATCTGCCACTTTCAGTTATTATCAGCCTAACTAACATCCTGCCAAGAACCCTTTGCTGGACCAACACCGCTGAAACTCTTCATGCTTTTCGTGCTTTTTTCGCACACACACACATCCAGATGCAATCTGGGCCTTGATCTCGTCGAACAGCACCAATGTCAAAGCTGCAGACAAAGGGATGCTAGCGACTTCGAAACTGTCTGCAGGAGTGCTGGCATCGCCCAGCACAAGCTTCCAGCTCCACTCCTCGGGCACCTTGCCAACGCTCTTGAGGTGCTCCCTCACTGCACCTTTGACCTTCCCCTGCAAATCCGCAATAGACCGGAGACCTTGTCGATCTGCCTCCGCGATGCGTTCTCCGGAAATCTGGTTGACGTAGAGTCTGCAGATGCCTCCTGCACAGGCCCCGATCCCTGGACCGTTTCGCATCTCCACATCTGAACCAAAACGACAGGATCATGATTGTACTCTCTGAGACTTGGGATGACTTGGGCAAGCGGTGTACTCAGAAGCGTGTCCCGTTCGAAAGCGCAGCCTTCTCAGGGCGAAACAGACTGTCCTCCTCTATGGAGGCACGAGGAAGAGCCCGCCAGGCTTGAGGCAGGCTGTTTGGACTTGTTGCTTAAGTCTCAAACTTGTGGGTTTTGAAAGGGAAGGAAGGCGCCATTATGAAGGGCTCTGGCACAGCGTTGCACGTGGTCACAGCCCAAGCATCCCGGAAAACACACGGGGCCTGAAGTTAATGGGCATGGCGATCGAAAGTGCACGCTGTGAAGGGGCAGTGTTGGAGTGAGTCTGCAAAGCCGCCTCGCCCGCGATGGACTTCGACGTCAGCAGCTGCTACGCTCACAGCCTTCAACGAGGCGGCCAGGCGGGCTTTCGATCAGAAATCCACAGCTGTCTCCTATGCAGACTTAGCACTGCGGCTTCTGACCTCCAAAAGTACCTCTTCGCTGCCAGCCGCCAGGACTCGGGCTTCGACGCCGGCATCCCGCAATAGCCGGAGCGGCAGCCCTGTGCTGGCACCTCCAGGCAGAGACCCGGTGTCCGTGGACGAAAGGTTGGGAGTTCCCGGACAGTTCCCGTACCCTGCGCGACCCCCTTGCGCCTTCTGCTGTGCCTACGCTGATGCCAACAACCACGCCCAAGCGGCTGCCATGTTCTTGTAGCATCTTGTGGATGTCATAGTCAGCCGGTGGCTCGAGGGGAGTGCTTGTGAAGAGTAGAATATACTCGTAGGCGAATTTCGAGGACTTGCGAAGCAGGCTTGTGCATGTTCGCCATGCAAAGGACGATTTTGTGCAACTGGTCGCAAGTCGTCCCGGTCCCGGAGTGAAGCCTCGCAGTTCACCTGCCTGCCGGTGGTCAAGCTGGATCTCCTGCCGCTTACGAGAAAGATTTCGATCATATGTTGCACTAACGGAAACCACTTCGCCTCATGGCTGAGGCTAAGGCCCAGACTGCCTCGGAATCGCCGAAGAGGACCAGCGATATAGAGGTGTTGTCTGGGTGACGGTGTGTTGCGATGCATGCACGGAAGGCGGCGCAGGCCACTTCCAGCTGTCGCCGGGCATCTTCATCTGCAACCAGGGATGTCGATGCCAGGAGGGTGCAATGCACCTGCACGGGAAGGACCTAATCCAGCTGTCAGTACAACAAAATTAGGCACTGTTCTGAGGAGCTGAGCAACTTTTCATCACCGACTTTCTGCAGAGGCCATGCTCGGCTCGGACTTTGAACTCCAAGTCACAGCCGTTCTGAGCTCTGAGACACATGCCTATGAGATCTAACGAGCACGGAGATAAACTTGGAAACTTGGAGGATGCATGGGACAGCAAAAGAATCGCCAGAGCCTGCGTGGCCAGACACGCCTTACACCAATCTTTCCTTGATTGGTCAAACGGCGTGTCGCCTCAGTGCGAGCCCGTTTGCGCAAAATGTCCAGGTTGATGGGAGAAACGTTCGAGCCTCAGGGAGGGGTTTGCGCCAGATGTGAGTACCACTGCCGGCTATCGACAACTTCTGAAGCTGGAAGGCGCTTGAAGATTGTCCAACATTGAGGTCCCTGTACGATGGCAGCCGAAACAGAAACAAGAAACCTAAGGATTGAATCAGAACATATGCAGACAACTCCCTTTCTAAATAGCTTCGGGGTTCTAGTTTCGGATCGGCTGCTGGGAGTTTCGGATCATTGCCCCGAGGCTCCGCCCCGAAATTGACCTCAAAAAAACCTGAAACTCACACCTTCCCCTTCCGAGGCCCCGTCCACGGTTGTCTTGGGCCTCCTCATCGGGAAGCCAACAGCACTGGTCAACTCAAGATGACTGAAATTGGTCCCGCAAGCACGACACACCACAGTCATCCACAGTTCCAGCATACACCTTCACAAGCATTCAGCGCAAAGAAACGGTCAGGAGGCGTAGGGCCCCAGTACCCTCGGCCTTGTCACAACCGGCTGCCAGGAGCTCGCGGACACACTTCACCTCGTTGTTGCTTGCTGCCAGATGCAGTGGAGTGGAGCCTCGGCAGCGGCACTTGGGGGCTGGGGGCACCTCGCGAAACCCACGAAAAGTTTGCTCCTGAAGCGCATGCATGAATCACATGCTAGAGGAAGAGCTGGGCTTTACACATTGTTTGACCCCGGACCTGCCCTGCAAGTGAACTGGAACCATACAAGCAACGCCACAATCTGTTAAGAAAAACCCTCATGTGGTGATGACGGACTTTCAGGCCTCGTACACATGAAAAAATCGCCCAAACTCACGTAGGGATATGGCCGGAACAAGTGCCGTGGCGAATCGCCTTCCGAGCCCCCCACCATCGTTGCCTCGGGCCTCCTGATCTGGATTGAGCAAGCACGGGAAAAATCGCACGAGAAGCCAAGCCCAAGCCATGCGACGAAAGGGAGACTTGGAACGACCCCGACCTCTCGCTTAAAGAGAGGAACAGAAAGCCTTTGAGCCTTGAGCTAGGGGCTGGCAGCTACCATTCAGAATGCAGCGCAGCAGCCCAGACGCTCCAGGCATTCAGTTCGGGAATGTCAGGGATAGGGGGCAGAGCTTTGGCTGGTGACGGCAATCTTGCAGCTCTGAAAGGTTTTCGCACTTGCAGCTTGCAGCTCTCAAGGACGCTGGAGACGTGCCTTGTCGCAACCGGCCGCGAGGAGCTCACGGATGCCCTCCACATGGCCGTTGCGAGCCACCAGATGCAGAGGAGTATAGCCTCGATCCCAGGAGCATGGAGGCGAATAGCAAGAATACCTTCGACGTATAGATCGTAACAGCCGTATAGTTGCCAAACTGCATGTATGACGGAGTCACATGTGCCCTGCAAGCCTCCATGAACTGTAAGCTTAAAAACCTTAAAATCAACAGGCCCGATCGGCGCCGTGTGTTGTTCTCCCTCACGCAAAAACATGCCGGACGTTGAGGCCTCACGTGTGGTACACATGACCACATGCCAAAAGGACCTTGCAGAACTCCAAGTTTCTTACAGTAGGTCAGTCCTTCTTCAAGCCGAGTAATCAACTCACGCACCATGTCGACCCTGGTATGCATCGTCTGCTATGACCGACTTGAGATGTTTGATTACATAAGCTACTAATAAGTCTGTATGGACACACACGGCAGAGCTGGATCATGCTGCAGAGAAAGTCTCACTCGCAATCTCAAGGGCCATGATATGTGCCATGAGTGCTGGTTCGCAGAACGCCCGAGGATGCAAGAGCTCTGCGACGAGAGATCTGCAAGCTCGAGGCCGAGCCTCTGGCCCATTGCGTCCGCGGCATCCTGACCCGAAGTTGCAATCGCAGGAATTTGGAGCCCCGAAAAGCAGTGGAGGCCTCAGAAGCTCGTCTGCTCAGCTTTTGCCCACGTCAAATGACTCGGTTGGCGGGCCTTGTCGGAACCCCACGCCAGCAGCTCCTTCAAACAGTCGAGGTGTCTGTGACGAGCTGCCCAATGCAGTGGGGTCTCACCTCAAAGGGCCCGTACACTGAACAACGGCTGGCGGCCATCTACAACACAACGCACGACAAACTCCGGACATCGCACCTGCAAAGGATGGTCCAAGCCCGGGGCCGTCTTCATCTTTCGCATCCTGCTCAGGTCAACACTGTACCTCCTGCTGCAATCCGGCTGCGAAAGTCTCGACCAGATCTCGCATTCGCTCCACTCTCTCATGTTGCAGGGTGCGCCACACGTCTTACTTGCTGCATACCTGTGCCTTCGAAGCCTCCACTGCCCTTCCTGGCACAGGCAAGGGGTGCAAAGTCAGCTCCGGGCCTTGTCGGAGCCCCGTGCCAGCAGCTCCTGGAGACATGTCAGGCGGCCGCGGCCAGCTGCCCGATGTACCGGCGTCCCACCTCGGCCCAACACGAAACCGCTGCAGAAGTCAAGCTGTACCGGGAAACCATACCAGCCACCAAGCAGAGGACATCACATCTCTGAATGCCTTCAGAAGTGAAGTCTAAGGGTGGGAAAACAGAAGTGTTGTAGAAGACAACTGGCAACTGACAACAACACCGAGCCTGTTCTGCAGAGAAGACATCCACTCAGTCTCCGGCCAGAACTGCCTTTTGCATCCTCGTGGCTAGGTCGCAACAGAAACGTCGACGAGTCGTCCGTGAAAGAGATTCTAGATTTACGTTCTGAGGCTTTCTCAGGTCGCGATTTTGTGTCTGGAACTGACAGTGTAGCTGCTGTCCCGTGCCTTGTCGGCTCCACAAGCCAGGAGCCTCTTCAATTCGTCCAGGTCGCCTTTCCGGGCCGCTTCGAGAAGGCCTGCGGAAGACAAATCTCTCTCCTCACGCCTTGTGCAATCGAAAGTCTGGCCTTGGTTGGCCATCTCAAAATCCCCAAGGCCGGGAGCTCACCTGTCATCTGTCCAAAGGCGGGTCGATCTCGCAACGGATGCTCAGCAAGATACAGAGAAGGGCCCTTTTCGACGGGGAGAGAAGAAGCTTCACAAAAAGTCGAGAGTCATCGCGAGACCCAGCATGGTCCCTCTGATAAAACCCAAACGGTGAAACTTCACGCGAAACTACCAATGAAGACCGGCGAGGCCCCTGGCATTGGAAATCCGCACTGACAGTGGGATTACGGGATTGGGTATCGCGGCCTCTCAACCTCGCGGCCCTCACGACCTGACCTCGCGGCTTTGCGGCTTTGCGGCTTGCGGCCTCACGACCCGGATCCGCTCACCACCTCGCGGCCTCACGACCTCGCGTCGTGACCTCCCGGCATCACCTTGATGGCTCGTGACCTTATGACAAGATCTCACGACGTCGCCGCGGTCTCATGGCATCATGCCTACCAGACTTGCGAGCACAACACAACGGAGCCAGGTCTGGTGTCTTGTGGTTTTCGCTGCGTCTTGATGGGGCACTCTTGAAGGTCCCTTTCCGGCCAAACTTGAAAATTTATCTTAATTGGTCGCTAACTTGGAGGAGATGTCGCCATAATTTGCACAATTTGTACGAGCAATCCTCATTTCAATGAGTGCCCGATCTCGGCCTCACAAGAGCGGACGAAGCATGTAAGCTGGCTGTTCATGCGAGGCTGCTCAGGCCAAGCCCCAAAGAAGCCGGGAGTGGTTTCAGGGCCCTTTTTCGGGCTTCTCGGCCAGACGGCGTTGGCCTTTTAGACTTGGAGCTTCTATTGCCAGTCAGGTTTGGGCTTGAGGCTGAGAGTCATATCTGCTGTCTCAAACCCAAACACCTTCCCAAAAAGAAAAAACAAAGCCTTCGACATGGCCCGAAACCACGGCACTTGAAACCCGAAACCTGCCTTCGCTGCAAGCTCGGCGCAACCTGAGAAGCATCCCAGTTGAATTGAAAGCCGGAAAATCAATCGTGAGCCCTCGGCCGGGAGCGATCAGAACATACGTATACGACCAAACTTCAGCAAAGTTCGAAGCCAAAGCCTTCGAAACCGGCAACAGGGCAAAGCGTGAAACAGCTCAGAAAAACCCCTGCATACCTCAAGTTGAATGAAGCTTCCGTCGCCGCCTTCTCCTTCCCTTTTAAGAAGCAAGAGAACTAGCCCTTCCCCTGGGACTCCCGCCCGAAAAACTTAACAACCCCACAGTAGAGACCCTGGTAGGAGCCCTGGAAGCCTCGATCCGCCAAGTCCTACGCAGTCCAAGTAAACTCCGAGGCTCCAGCGCCGAGCCCAGTAGCCCAGTCCCCGGAGACGGCTCTGACATGTCTTCAACATGAGACTTTCCAAGCTATAGTATATTATAATATACAACATATATATACACATATTATTTATAGTACAATATAGTATAGAATAATAGAATAACCAAACTCAGCTGAAGCTGGTTGGGGAGGGGATAGGGCCAGGATCTCCTCGTGATGTTCCGTGGTGTCGGATGGATTTTGCTTGTGCCTTCTGGCTTTGGAGTGCTCATGTTTGTCAACGAACGAGCAAAAAGCAGCTTGCTGAAACAGATCCCGGGACTTCGAGGTTGCATGTGTTCCATGACCTTGCTTCTAGCTGCTGGGAGCTCTGGTGGCTCCGTGCGTGGAAGTTGCCTCTGTTCTTGCGGAGCACAGCTCAAAGAGCCAGAGCCAGATGCAAAAAACAACGCTGAAATCAAAAGATGCAATTTGATTCTAAACGTATTCTCCTTCAAACCCGCGCTGTTGGAGTCGTAAGGCCCTCTGTGAAGTCTGACTTGGGCTTGAAAGCCTGTTCTCGGAAATAAGGATGATTCGCCGAAATTGCCCAGGCTTTGTACTAGATCAGACTGTGGCGTCGGCTTACCTTTCATGCACAGCTTCACCGGCCAACTCCGACATGGGGCTTGATCGGGCTTGCAGCGTCCTGAAACTGTTGAAGCAGCGGGCAGGCGTCACATGCTAGCCTTTTCGCGTCTTCGTCGGTCTACGTCCAAAGCCAGATCACTGAGCACACACGTATACTATAATTACACAACTGTGTAAGGATGGAACTAGATAATTGTATAGTTAACATATATGTACATATATATATATATATGCACAAAGACATACACATACACATACGCATACACCTACACCTACACGTAGACATAGACATATACATATATGCAGCACATATTCGAGCACCCCTTGAATGTCGATTCAGCTCTTATCTCCCTATGCATGCTGCCCTTCGACGACGTCTGTCGACGAAAGGACCAAAAAAGACCCGCATGCCCGCGCAAAGCCGTGGTTCACACTCATGCTGTAATTTCCTTACTTCAGTCGAACCGAAAAAATGGTAGGACAATTCATTAACTTTTTAAGGCTCTTGTTGCGATCGATGGCGGCGTCTGCTGCCACATTCGAGCCCGTAGAAATTGGCGTTGGCTTCTGCAAGGAGCGGGGGCATGCACGTTTACGGACCAAGACGCGCAGTGTTGCGCTTTGCTTCTCAGGCTGGTCTTGTTTGAACCCCCCTCCGCCATAGCTCGGCCCGTGGGCTCTGCTTTCGATCACGAGATGACAACATGGGTTTAGAGTTAACTCCAAACCCTAACCCCGAAACGAGGTACAGCCGGTCCAAGGGTTGCGACTCCTCCATCGACAGAGCCGCCGACAACTTCACGGCATCCTCATCTCCGAAATTGTTGCATTGGATCTGCACATCGCATGCGCCTGACTGCGCCATAGCCGCGATTACTTTCCACCATGCGGAGTTCTCTGGAATGGCCGTTTTGCACCACCGCTTTGAAGGCTGCAGGCAGGTCTGCGATCTTCATGGCGTCCAGGCCTTCTGCGTGCATGTGGCGGCGGTGAATACCTCGCTGATCCACGTCTGCAACGCGCTCCCGGACATCAGGTTCATGTAGAGCCTGTAGATGCCTGCCACGAAGCCATGTCCCGTTTCCGGCTTAGTTGCGGGTGAGGCCCTCAATACTTCAAAGCCCACGCAGATCTTGCTAGACCCCCCTAAGGCCCTAAGCCTAAGGGGTCTGTATTAGATGCCTCGTCGCGCCCAACCCTAAACCCGAAATGCTGGGCTGAGCTCCAAACCCTACATCCGGGAGAGCGTCAGCTCCAGGAAGTCGAGGTCGATAAGGCCAGAGCAGCCTGGCACAGCTGAAGGCCGTAGCTTCAAAACCTAGGGTTTATGCTTCTGTGCAGCAGATCTCAGATAATGATAGTAAGCATGTATAAATACAATGCTTCAATGATTACGCGGCCGCAGCAACAAAAACAGTAACATTTGCGACAAAACAGATCGAATGGCTTCCCCCTCCCAAGATCCTAATCCCCCTACAGTAAGCCCTAAACCGCAAACCACTGCAAACCCTAGACCGTCGGTCCCTGAAGCTGGCCCGTGAGGCCCACCAGCGCATGACTTTCGCGACTTGACCTCAGAAGCTAAGTCACCAAAGAACGGGTTTGCAACACTATGGATATATGGGGACGAGAACCTACAATTTAGGTGACCGGTCTTCTGTGATTGGTCATCTGGGTGAATCAAGCTCACAGTTGGGAGACTCTGCGTCTGCAAGCAGCGGAACTTTTCTCCGTTGCTCTCCATCGAGGCTCTCCAGATACAGTTCGGAGGATTTCTGAAACCTCACAAAGCAGAACGGCCGCCGACCGCGAGAGTTATACCATATGCTAACATAGTATATTATGCTATATGGCTATATGGCATATCATCGTAAGGACTCACGAGAGCTCGCCCACCACTCCCGCAACTTCTTCTTCACGAGCGACGATGTTGCGCTCAAGATCTTCGAGCACCTGCTTGCTGCCTTTCAGCTCGGTAAAGACCTGCATGGGAGTGTCCTAAACATTCAGCTCCTTTCCTTGGAGATCCTCCTAGCAAGCACAATCCTCTTGTAAACTTCCCCTTGAACGCTAAACCCTAAACCCGAAACCCTAAATCCTCAACCCTAAATCCTAAACCCTAAACCTCAAGCCCTAAACTCCCCCACCTTGAGGGTGATGACATCCCGGGCCATGGCCTCGCAATTATCGGAGCTCGCCTCAGCCGGAGCCTCGCAGACGGCCGCTTCCCCCTGCAAGTCAATGATCTTCCGAGCTTCAAACTGCATGTCCTAGGGTTTAGGGTTTGGGTGTTTTTGTTGAGCACCTTTTTCCGCCTTGCGATTAAGGTTAGCAGGGTTTAGGGTTTAGGATTTAAGGTTCGGGGTTTAGGATTCGGGGTTTAGGATTTCGGGTTTAGGGTTTAGGAGCTTCAACATGCATGTCCTCGGCCGCTAGCAAGCTGGAGCGAACGTAGTCCTCGTGTTCCTGCGCCTCTTCTTGGCTCAGGTGGTCGTGGCAATGGATAGGAAGCTCGATCTGCTCTGTCTCAGGGTCATTTGCATGCTCCTCCAACAACGACAAGCCGAAGAACGTCTGGAACCGGTCTTTCCAAGGCAAACCTTGCACGGCGGTATTGGTGGCATCCTCATCTTCCGTCGGCGTCCGCTCCCCAAAACCCTCGTCGATTTGTAGCTCCGAAGCCTCGCATCCCAAAGCCTACATTCTGAAGCCGAAGCTCTGTGTCCCAAGAAATAAGCACAAACACCAACAAGCATGAAGTCGGATTTGCTTTCTGTTGGGCTTGTCCGATGGTACAGAAAGTTGTTTGGGGGCTGATTGGGACGCCTAGGGCCTAGAAGTGCTCTTCGGCCTCCTGAGTGGTCGTCGCGGTGGTCTTCTCGGAGATTGTATGCTCTTCGGTCTCCTTGGCCAAAGTCTCTTCTGAAACTATAGGTTCCTCAAAGGAACCCTTATGGATCCATATTATGATAGTTTAAACCCCTTAAGAAGAACCCAGCTTCGATCTTCTCGGTCGCGGTGGTCTTTTCGGAGTCGGTAAACTTTTCCATCTCCTCGGCGGTCGTTGTGGTCGGTGTAGTCCTGGCTTGAGCGTGAAGAGGCAGTCTCGGGGAGACGAGGTTTAGAGGCCTCTTCTGGGATTTACACATGACCCGTCGACTGTTTAACAGCATGTCCAAGGATGCAAACTCCTACGTGGCCTCGGGCCTAAACGACTGAGCTAGCAAGCGGGAAATCACCAAATCACCTTCAAACCCCAACGAGCCCTCCATGCCCGAAAGCCCACGAACTCTGAAGACCTCCGACGATGCTTGTCTGCTACCACAGAATCCCACACTCTAGACCGGATCGTTGGACTCTGGCCTAGGGGTCTACGCTGCCAAACCAGCTAACGAATGCGAAGGTGAGAAGGTGAGCAACCTTCCTTGTCGAGGTGGCATTGTGATGGCATTGTGCTCCCGTAAACTCCTGAGCCAGCTTCCGAGCTTCATGTCCACTGAGCACATATTCGTGGTAGTTGACGCGGCCGGCGGAATAGTTGACTACCATCATGCCTGGGCTGTTCTTGGAGGGAGCCCCCACAACAGTTGCAATTGCTATGACACACTGTTTCAGATGCTGTCAGCCACACCTCTCGACACCATAACTCTGCCTAGCTCAAGAAGTTTTGTTTAGATCTGGTGGAAATAACTTCCAGAAAATCTCTGTTAGTAGGTACACCTAGACACTCCTCCTGCTGCTGCGAATACTACTACTCCTACAACTACTACTGCGATTCTCCAACAACTCAAAACAAAAGGCCAGAACAGGTCAGATACCCCCAAGATTACTGTGGCCACCTCCATTGAACATCTCCGGATCCCACGCTGGAAGCCGCAAGGGGTGGTTGTTTGTCTCGTCGACACAAAAGGTCCCAACGTAGTCGGCTGCTGAGAAGATGGTTTGCACGAAGTACTCCTTAGCAGAATTTCAGGCTCCCAACAGTACTGGTGAGAGGCGACTTCTGGCAACGGAAGGGAAGCTGACAAGCTTCCCAATGTGCCACCTAGATTCTCCACCCGTGTCAAGCGGAAGAGTGCTGATCCCTTTTGCCATTTGCTCATGACCTCGAAGTAGCCTTTTCAATCCGTTCGACCACAAGAATTTGGAGGCGATATCCCTCCCGAAATTGTGGATTTCACCGCCGCGAGGAGATCTCGCCCATCCGCTTCCCTTGTGGGGGTCTGACCACACCATTTCCGACCCAATATCCGTGTTGAAGCCTAAGCAAGACCGGAAGTTACCTCGTTTGTTCCAGCATGCCTGCACTAGCTTTGGGGAGATGCCCCCGTGAGTTGCCATGAACATCCCGTTGGCGACTGCAACGAAGGGTAGCTTCCAAAACGCGTCGTTGAAGTGACTCCAAAGCATCGATTTGCCCGAGTGAAGCGAGCGCTTGTCCAGCTTGTACTCAACCTCCTTGCTGAAGCCGTATCTGTCGTTTGCGCTCGATGCCTCGTGGTTGCCTTGGAGCAGGATTATACCGGAAGGGCATAATGCCTTGTAGGCGAACAGGAGCATTACGGTCTCCACACTTCGTTCACCACGATCCACGTAGTCGCCCAGGAAGACGTACTGTAGCTTTGAGTCGCAGATGAAAAGCTTGGATGCGGGGAGAACGGAGAGGTGTGTCATGTCCACTTTGTCATGGAGGTGACGGAGGAAGGCGAGCAAGTTGAACAGCTGTCCATGCAAGTCTCCCAGGACCACCGTTGCCTGCGTGGCCGTTACTCTGCGACTAAAGCCCTCTGCACGCAGTTCCCGTTCGAGCACCTCCTCGTTGAAGGCCGTCAGAAAGGCAGTGATGTCCTCTGAATTCATTCCAGGCACTTCGCCGTACCTGTCTATCTTCGTCAGAGCCGTCTCCTCCATGCTCTTGACGTATTTTATCGCGGCCGTCTTGAGGTGGTATGTGGAGGTCGATCGGACAGAATGGACACAGCCTATGCAGGCCGAACACGCCACAGCAAGAAGCTTCAACGCCATCGCGTCAAACACTTTAGGTTTTGCAGACAGGTGCAAGTAGGAGCAGTCAGTCGCAACAGTCAAGTCAAGGGCATCAAGAGTGCTTGAGGCAAAACCGGCCCGAGCTCTGGACAGTTCTCAGGTGACACCATCTTCCTAATACCTTTACGGTCCAGCCCCCATGAGCACCAAGGGCAGGGCGCACATCAGAACAGCCGCTGATCGCGAAAGGGCCTCATCATCCGGTTGTCCACCAATCCCTCAACTTCCTCTTCACGAGCGACGTTATGCTCAAGATCTTGAAGGCTTTAGGACCCCACAGTAGTCATAGGGGCCCTAATAATGAGAATAGGGCTTGGGAGTACATACTACATAACGACATCAAGGAACCCCAAAACTAGGACAGGTAACTATGGGCTTCAGGAGAGCCCCTTGTGGCTGCCTGCTGGTCTGATGCGCCCTAGATGTGAGATGCTCCGAACGATTGCTGCTGCTAGCTGCTACAAGTACAGTGGATTTTTGACCGAGTTAGAGCAAGTACATGTCGCGTGGGCTACAAAAACAGCTGCGCGTAAATTTCAGCACAAAAGAGAAACCCCCTGCTATACAAAAGAAATGAACCCTTATAGGATCCCTTTAAAGGAGCCCTAAGCCTTATAGACCTTATAGGACCAGAACACCTCGTTGAGAGAACTCCTTTCCGAGCACCCGCGCCATGGCCTCGGCTTCGGGCCTCCTGGAAGCCGCAAACAGAACGGAAATTTCGGGAGCCAACACCCCATCACCGCTTCCCAGAGAGCCCAATACCCCTTAATTAAGGAATTTACCTTAAATCATATTATGCGCCCCCTTATAATTCAAGATAGATTCCTTAATTAAGGGGTATTGGGCTCTCTGGGTTCAATGATCGTCCAAACTTCAGGGTTCGAGCATGCCACACTCCCGGTCTGCCAGCACAGCTCAGCGCAGCCCCTGATCACCACAGCGCCTCTCCCCGGGCCTTGGGCTCCTCCTCCGGGTCTCCGTCGGCAGCCGCATGGAGAAGGCCTCCGACACACGAATCTCTCTCCTCGCGCCCTGTGGAAAGAGGAAACTCTGGGAGCCTTCGTCACGTCCAGATCCCGAAAGGCCGGGAGCTCACCTCTGTCCGACGATCTCGCAACTGCGCAGAAAGAAACAGATGATGGCCCCGTTAAGACAGAGTGAGAAGAAGTTTGCCGAGGAGCTTCAGCCTGAGTTCGAGACACCCAAACTATCAGAAGACGCCTCGTGGTCCCTCTCAAAAGCCACGAAACGATCCTGGTGGTCTGGGAGCTTGGGTCTTCGCAGCTGAGGGCTGCAGCATAATATGAGGGTCTGAATAATTTCCTATACTATTTTGGGTGGCTTCCTTTTTGTAAATTATAGTAGAACGGGCCCCAAAACCCTATTCTAATTATGAAGGCCCTTACAGTAGATGCTTGCCTGCGATCTTGCCTCTTCCCTCGATGGATGCAGCACGAAACCGAGCCTGAGCTGGTAGAGCATGTGCTGGGCTGATGCAAAGGCATCGTGGGGGTTCAAACATTTAAGGGCTTCGGGACTTACAGCTTGAAGAGTCAAGGGTTTACAGTTTAGGGTTTAGGGTCCAGGTCTAGATACTTTGGAGCTTTTGGATGCATGACGCCTGAAGCATCCTGAAGCCCTTCAAAGAGGCGGCTCTCGGCAGTTGCTTTGTCCCTGAGCCCTAAACCCTAAAGCCACCAAGAGGTCTTCCCAGAGACTCCAACTTTTCTGAACTAAGGAATACATCGTAAATCAATTTAAGAAAATTGACAGTCTTGACATCCAGCATCATCCGTTTCTTGTTCCTTTCCTTCCGACGGTCCGAACAGTATGATCGATGACAATTGCTAAACGACGGATGTTCCCGCAATCTCAATACACCTTCGATCTCCGTCCACAAGCTCGAAACACGTCAAGACTTTGGCATTCTTAACCTCTCGGGGTGTAAATCCTGGAGACATGGTATGTCTCCATGGGTAGCATTATGCCTCTGTTTGCTTTTATCTGTCGTTATTTGCCTTTGTATCTTTTTGGTTTTCGGTTCGTTTTGGGATTCGGACCCACGTAACGACAGAGCAACCCCCAAAGAGCACCGAAAGCAAAGAGCACACCGCAAAGAGCACCAAAACCCGAAGCGTAGTGAAAGAGAAAGCCCCCCAACATGCACTTCAAACGGATCCCCAAGGGACCCACAACGCGTTCGAACGCGTTCCACACGGACCGAAACGGACGCGAAACGCACCCAAAACGCACCTTCAAATATGCTTATAAACACTTCCATTCCAAACGGACTCCGATTAAAACGCAGTTCCATGCGCACCTTACACGCAGTTATTTGCTTGCACAACGTCCTAATGTTATCAGAACCAGATTTTCACAAGAGTAAAGTGCTGAGCACACCCTCACGCTTCTGTAATGTTGCTCTAGCCCCCTGCGCTTGCCAGCAAAATTGGCCATGATCGGAATCTGCAGCTGTCTGCTCCGAAAAAGCTGGGTGGTTATTCTAGAACAAGTAACCACCTGCAGAAGGTAAGAGAGCTAAACACTCTCAGATTTGTTCTCGTCGGGCCCACGGGTGCTTGGGATAAAATCACAAGACAATCTGTCAGATTGCCATCGAGAACATCTAAGACCAGCGCAGACAAGATGGTCGCGCTCTTTGTTTCAGAAGGCAGCTGGCCAGGCCTCTCCTGCAGAGCATCGAAGTTAGGACGTGACAAGACATAACAACATGGCTAATGGTCCCGGGTGCTGCCTTGCTTTTTTGCTCGCTGATTCGAAGTGCTTGCATTGCGATGAGAACTGTGTTGTGGTGTAGGCATTGACAACCGTCGCATTGTGCACATGCCTATTTCTTCAAACCACACCGTTTAAAGTGTTCTGATCTCTTTTGCTACCGAGCCTGAGTGGGAAGACTTCCAGAAGAAGCAGCCTTCATGTTTCCCAGGCCGAGACGGCAAGAACGAGCCAAAAGAGAATGAGCAACTGCAAACCATGTAAACTATGGAGGTGCGCATGGTCCGTCTTCGCGGCTTCTTTAGCTCCTTTATTACCTGAAGCAGTAAACTCTAGTAGACTCTAATTTGGCCTGTTACCAAGGATCGAAGTCAAAACCCGCAGTATGTGGGTGCGTTCCTGCCCTCCGCAAACCCACATGATTCATATGATGTTAACAACAGAGCCCTCCATCCTGATTGCCCGAGACCCTATCTTGGCTAGTGGCAACTACTGACGCCAAGCTGGCAAAAAAAGCTGAGCTTTCAGGATCCATCCCATCTCTGCATGAGAGACTTCATAATTGGCTTGACAAACTCTGCTCCACGAGGGGCATGGCTGAAGATCCAACGCAAGGCTTGGGACACGTAGCCACTCTCCTCGTGAGGCGCATTGTACCTTGCGCCTCCAGACCACTGGCCTCGCATGCCGAGCATCGAAGCAAGCGTCTGTAGTTTATAATTGCTCACCCTCCTCGGCTGAGGCACACCCTTGTTCTTGCAGCATGTCACACCGATTCAAGGCCGGCCGGCCTGTTTGCCCACTGGCGTCCCAGCCCTCGCCGTTGCCAGACCATTGGCTCCAGCGCCACCACTGGCAAGCACGCAACTCAAAGTCTGGGGTGGGGCAACCTAAGCGGATCCCTTTCCGCTTAGATGAAAGGAGAAGGCACAATTATGGGTGAGTTTGCGGGCTCTCTGCGGGCAGATAGCTGGGATACTCACCTGGGCGTGGCTCCAATCGCCGTCTGCTGACCTCGCAGCAACAGCATGATAACGTCTCCATTGCAAGTAACAAGCCGCGGGTAAGCAGACTGCCGGCAGGACTTGTAGTTGTGACGGAGTTCGTGTTTCGTGTAGGGCTTCCTTCACGGTTGTTGGGGCTGGTGAGGTGTAAGGTTCTGTCAGTCTGGGGCTTCTGGAAATCGCCAAGTTCAGGGCTTTGGGGGACTCAAGGTTCACCGGCTGAGATACCGGTTACGGCCTAGGGACATTGTAGGTGCGTCGGCGCCTCGGTGTAAACTGTAAATTTCAGCCGTCCCACGATTTGGCTAAATTCGGGTTGCAGGTTGAGGCGGTGTGATACGGCTACTATAGCACTACAACGCCATTGAAGGAAACACCGTCTACTTGGCCATGACTCGACTGTTGAGACTCTTGGCAGACAACGGCCAGTGAACTTAAGACCGAGCTCACGGCCACGCGACGCCATTCTCGTCGACCTCTTGTCAGCCGGAACTGTTACTCAACTTACTCCGAGTCATGCCACACCCTCAAACTCCAGCCAGCCAGCCTTAACACCGCAGCTTATCTTCTGACGAGCTTGCAACCGACACAAGCAATGCGGGTCCTACGAGTGAGTAGGCCACTGAGGCAATGACCCAAGAGATCATGCCAGCTGACATGGCTGGCGAAAGTCTAGTCTGTGGTCCAAGTTAGACCCTACGTTTCCGAAGGCTGTTCCTGCAACAGATGCTGTCACCCGTACTTTTCGAATCATGGGTTATGCTGACAGCCTGCAATGTCTGATAAGCTACCGGCTTAAATCAGGACAACGCTTCGGCAAAGGGCTTGCGCATCCCCCACCGTGAATGACAAATGCGTGTTTCCGGAACAGGCATTGCATGAAATCCCGAAGCCCGCAAGCCGAAGAACCCAGCCACGCAGTCCGCGATTTTTTCACTGGCAGCCAACCGCGTGCCTTGCGTTCTTGCGCTGCCAGCAAAAACTCATATGCCTTTAATGTTCACGTAGCTGATGACCTCCAGGCCGATGTGGGAGCTTAGGGTTTAGGGGTTTGGGGTTTAGGCTTTAGGGCCCGATAATGTCCGCGACCAATTTTGGTCAAATCCCTGGGATTCTTCTTTCGGTTTTCTGCAATCTCCACCTCCATGGATGAATGACGGCAATCAGACCGGACCGCGGCCATGGATTGAGAATTCTCATAATTCCTTCGGTGATTGTTCTGGTGTAGGTTCGGGA